TTCAACATTAGTTATGTGTTCCAACAAATTCCCTTTGGGGCTTAAGCCAACTTGATTTGGGATCCATGACAGGCATTCAAAGACCTTCCTGAGTGACATGAGACACCAGGCAAATTTGGGTAAATTGCATCACGTCCAGCCCTCATAGCTGCTCCCTGAGGTAGGTCTGCTTATCTATACTTCATAGAATTTCACCTTGGAAGGCCAGCTGCCTCTACTTGAGCCTGTCACTCATGCTCAGCACTTATGGGGACCTTGAGGGCTTGCAGATGAACTTCTTAGTGTACCTCTCTGTCCCAGTGGCAGCCTTGGACCTCAGGAGCTCTGCATTTCTTGTTCACAAACCTGTGTGTCCATAGAGTGCCCCATCCATCCTGGCAGCACTCAGACGTGTGTGCTGCATAGAGAGATGGTCTTTTTTAGATTTATTTATTTACTTTATGTATCAGTGCTCTATCTACATGTACACATTTATGCCAGAAGAGGGCACCAGATGCCACTAGAGATGGTTGTGGGCCACCATGTGGTTGCTAGGATGAACTCAGGATTTCTGAAAGAGCAGCCAGTGCTCTTAACCACTGAGTCATCTCTCTAGCCCTTAGATAGATGTTCTTGCCTGAGAACTGACCCAGGATTTCAAAGCACATGTGGGTTTTCTTGCTTTGCTTCTTACTTTTACCTATTTCCAGAGGTAAGAGCCAGATTCAACGATATGATCAATGAGGACAATTCTAGCATAGTTTAAAACACACACACACAAACGAGAGCATGCATGCACACACACACGTACACAAGAGCATGCATGCACACACACACACACAACAACAACAACAACAACAACTCTGCTCCATTGAGCACTGTGAGCCACATCAGGAAGGGCCCCATTTGTGATAGTGGGGCTCACATCTCACATGGCTATGGGAGTCATGATGGCTGACTCTAGCCGATTGCTAGGAGAAGCGCTATACCGAACATTGCTTTAATCTCTGCGGCAGTTCTCACACATGCCCTTACTTTATTTACATGCCACTGCGAACCAGGTTGGGTAAGAGAGTTCATGTAATTTATAGACACCACATGAGCCACCAGTGTTGGGACCATTTGGAGTCCTGGCCTCCAGCTGTTCTTCCCTGCTAGAGATCTTTACTTTCCTTCTGATTTGAGTTACTGAAAGCTGTGTCAGAGTAGTTTACCAGCTCTGCTTCACGAGCCCGTGTTGCCTTGGCCTTGAGGATCAGAGGATAAGGTTTTCACCTGTCGGCCCACCTGACTGTTGGGTGTATAAGCCTCCATGGTGCTATTGAATAAAGGGCTTCTTACCAGTGACTAAATGTCCGTGTCTCTGTCTCTCTGTCTGTGTGTGTTTGTGTGTTTCAATCTCTAGCCCCTTGCCCGAAGCTCGCGAACTGTAGGGTAGCTCATAGAGCACAGACAGGCATTGTGCTCTGTACACCAGCATCAAGTCCAGAGCTGATGCTGTGGCCATGTCTGAGAAGACCTGATGTTCTTTGTGATGAGGGAAGAAGGGGTCTGTGGCTACTGCAGAGGCAAGAGATGACGCCAAACAAAGGGCTGGTCCACAGATTTCTCTCAGCAGGAGGCTCCTGATGAGGTGGAAACTGTATATCTGGGGTCTGCCTAAGCTGATATGACCCCTCTCCAGGGCTGTTCCTGGCTGTTCAAGCTTTCCTGGCTCCACTGCTCTCTGAACAAAGAGGTTTATTGTGGCCCAGCCACCGCTCCCGCCAACTCCCTAAGACTTTGGGTCTACCACTAGCCAGTCCCCACCCAGCTGCTGGAATCACCACCATCCAGGCCCAACTTGAGCGGAGAACCAAGTCCTACTGAACTTCTCTCCTAATCACTCATCAGAACACCCTTTAAGGCCCACCCAGGCTGCTGATGCTCTCCCTCAGCCCCTCACCACGATCTGGCTTCCTCTTCCTCCCTAACAACCCCAGGAGGAATTTCACATAACTCAGTGCTTGGTCAACTTAGCCCTGCACTTCAGACCAGTCCCACTCTGCAGTGCAGATGAGCCATGGAGTTTCACAGGGCGTCGGGTTCACAATGTGTAAAGCAGGGGAAAAAGGAGTGGGTTGCTAAGTAACTGTCCTGTGGTCCATGGAGCACCAGCTCTAGAAGAAAGCTAAGAAGTAGCAGCCTTCCCCTTGTCTTTGCTCCTTATCCTCCCAACAGCTATCCGAGCTAAACTTCAATTTAGCCTCGATTCCCAAAATGAGGAAAAGGGGCTGGAGTGGCTGAGGCTTAGTGAGCAGGGCCTTCTCATCTGGTCTCAGCAGCACCACTCACACGGTCCCACTGGGCTAAAACGAGGATTACTCAATTGCTTAGAAGTTCAAAGTGTTTAAGATGTTCACAAACACATTTATCCTTTTGCTTTCTTTCTGCTTCACAGCTGTGAGCTGTTGAAGGTCATAAAGCTATGTGTGAGGAAAGCATGGGCTAGAAGATGAGGTGGCAGAATCTTGAGTTCCATAGCCGGTGACTGAGCCATGAAATTTGGCCCCCAATCCCACAGCACCTTCCTCTATTCCATTGCTTGGGTGCAGAACCCCCCTAAGGAACAGTCTTTAAGGCAGGGGTGCACAGCAAGGTGGGGTAGACATCACAGTTCACAGATCCTGGAGCAGGGATGACTGACAGTCTTGGTAGACAGGAGGACTGTGGACAGGTCTGGCATGGGGCCAGAGGCTTAGCAACAGCATCTCGGGGACCCTGGCCAGTGGCACCATCTGGATGCAATCTCCTTGTGTGCCTATGGCTCACAGACTTTACAGTGCTGCTGCCAGCAGAGACCCTACCCAAGATCCACTAGAACTGGGGAGAGAGGCAGGGTCGGGCCATTGTGTACCATTCCCACTATATTAGCCACACGTGGGCTAACTGGGTCTACACAGCACCTGACCCCTGTGACCTCCCATTCCCATCCATAGACCCACCAGAGCAGAGCAGAGCAGATGGAACAAGGGAGTGTGGGAATATCTGGAGCATTGGAAGACCTCCAAGGACTTTGTTCACTGCCTTAGGCAATGGCTGTGCTTCCCTAGTACCAAGAGCCCAGAAGTTACTGCTCTGGACCTGGCCTTGGGGAAAAGGAAACAGCAGAACTTCCCCCTAGCACCATATACCTTCACAGCACCACATGGATGTCGCCAACAAGGCCTTCCGAGATTCTTACTGAAACATCAGTGTTCTAAAGAGCTCTTTGTTGGGGACACTAGGCAGCGTGGGAAGGAATGGGTGGGACCCTTCTTAGGAGTGTTACTCTAACCTCAGTGTCTGAGAGAATTTCTGGGTGAATCCACGCTCTAGTTTGTGTGAATGTTTTGCAGCTACTCTATATGGATGACAAGGTGACCACAAACACATGGCTTCTGTTCACTGGGGGCACTTTTCATGGCATTCTCCCTCTACTCCTCTCCAGCAGCTGTAACATTCCTCAGTGGGAGCCACTGTCCTGCCCTTTGAATACGTTAGATGACTTGGGCAAGGTCATCCAGCTGGCAGTGGGGAAAGTCAGGATTCAAGTTCAGACATGAAACTTACAGAGACTGTCTTGCTCACCTCAGCACCCCCCCCCCGCCCCCCCCCCCCCACACACGAGGCTGTTGTTATCAGAAAGGAGACAGAGAAAACAAAGGATTCGTGGCACAAATAAGTTAGGAATGAGGCAAACAGAGCGAAGTGGATCTGATGGAGAGGGCCTGGGTGGGAATTTAAATGGTGTGTGTGTGTGTGTGTGTGTGTGTGTGTGTGTGTATTTATGTGTGTGTATGTATGTATGTGTGTGTATGTGTTGTGTATGTATGTGTGCCTGGTGTATATGTGTGTATGCATGTGTGTGTATGTGTGTATGATGTGGGAAGTCCTTCTGTATATCTGTTGCTTTCATTGATTAATTAATAAAAGCTGTTTCGGCCAGTGGCTTAGCAGAATCGAGCTAGGTAGGAAAACTGAACTGATTGCTGGGAGAAAGAAGGCAGAGTCAGGGAGACACCATGTAGCCGCCACGGGGACAGAGGAGCTGGAACCTTGACAGTAAGCCACAGCCACGTGGTGATACACAGATTAATAGAAATGGGTTAAAATAAGATGTAAGAGCTAGCCAATAAGAAGCTAGAGCTAATAGGCCAAGCAGTGATTTAATTAATACAGTTTTCTGTGTGGTTATTTTGGGGCTGAGCAGCTGAGAACAAACAAGGGGACTCTTACAACATGTATATGTGTGTATTGGACATGGGTGCACTGTTGTGTGATTGCATGTGGAAGTCAGAATTATAATTCAGGTAGTTCCATCAGTTTTGAGACAGCGTTTTTCATTGGTCTGGAGCTTCACCATGTCAGCTAGACTAGCTGGCCCGCAAGCTTCCAGGAGCCCTCCCATCTCAGCCTCCTGTCTTGCCATCCCCAGGATGACAAGAATGTGCCACTACACCTGACATTTTATGTGGATTCTCAGGATCTGAACTCAGGTAATAATACTCATGAGACATACTGACTGGGCCATCTCCCCAGCTCAAAACCTGGAGTTTTTGTTACTTAATTTACTGCAGTCTTATTGGTGACAGGAACAACCTGAAATTCCCCAAGTGTCCATCAGTCATATGGTGAAAGACATCCTGAATGTCTTACTGTGCTTCTGTGGAAAAACCCCTAAGTCTCTGTTGGGTTTCTCCAGTTCTCCAGACCTAGACCATGCCCCTCCCTGCTCTATGCTGGCCTTTCTTCCCTGCTCCCCTCACTTGGGTACTGCCCAGTTTCTGCATCATTTGTCCCTGTACCACCCAATAATCCCGGATGTTGGTACTCTCTCTTCCCTCTGCCCATTCGGCAGTAAAGCCTCTACAGTTAAACTGTGTGGAACCCTGTTGCCTGCTGGGACACTGATAATGATGCAGGTGCCTTATTATTATTATTATCATTATTATTATTATAGAAGGGACCCCCCCCCAAGCAAAAACAATGCCCGGACTGACCTCCCAAGAAACTTTCCGATGGTCTTCACCATTAGCGTCCCCACCAGGCCACCAATCGCGAATATGGACACAGTCACAGACCAGAGCAGGGTCAAGGTATTGGGGTCTATGGGATGTCCACGCCTTCTGTACCAGGTTGCATTGTAAAAGTCCTTGATATACTGAAAGGAAACGAGATGAGTTATTTCCTTCTGCTCTGCCTGTGCTGGAAGTGAATCAAAAGGGTCTTTACAGGGCTGGTTCATCATGCTTGGCCCCTCGCAGAACTCTGCACTGGGCCTCATTGGGTTCTTCTAACAAATATAGGGAATGGTCCTTACAGTGTGACTCTTTTGGGGAGTGTGAAGCCTGGGAGTCAAAGCAGATCTGGACCTAAACTCTGATGTCACTATGCAGTGGAGACCCAAAGAGGCCAAAGGTCAGAGAGTTTGGGACTTGTTTCTAGTTCATTCATTATTTTGCTTCCACTTCAAACAAAGCCTCCAACTAGTTGTAAATCAGGGTTCTGCTCTCTTAAGGCTGTTGTCACCAGGTGTGGCTAGTTGCCAGGTCTTGTGCTCCTGGAATAAGGAAGTAGTTGGTTTCTACCTAAAAGTCTAAGGACCCAACTAAGTTCCAGTTCTCTTTATGGAAATAACTTGGGATTCCACCCAGGGAGTGGTTTGCTTACAGTGTTTGGTCAAGGGAGTGAGTCTGGGGCATGAACTTGGTGAACATAGACCTTCAATTGGTCTGTTCATTTCCTTGTATCATGTTAATGCAGTCTTTTGTCTTACTCCTACCTTTTGGGGTCAGGGGTATTTTAAGCAGTTGGAAATTAAACATGGGTGAATTTTCAGTACTCACTGAGAAATTCCTTCCCAATGCTATCCTATATGTTTCTCCATTTTATTATTTTCATTCACGTCTTCATATTCTTTACTCTATTTCTAAATCCCCACGCCTCCACTCTGGAGAAAAGTATTTTCGTCGAGGCTGGCCCCTGACACAACAACTTGGAAGTATGTTAAAAGCACACACTTCGGGCTGGAGAGATGGCTCAGAGGTTAAGAGCACTGACTGCTCTTCCAGAGGTCCTGAGTTCAATTCCCAGCAACCACATGGTGGCTCACAACCATTTGTAATGAGATCTGGCACCCTCTTCTGGCCTGTAAATGTACATGCAGGCAGAGCACTCTATATATAAAAAATAAAATAAAATGTTTTTAAAAAATAAAGCACACACTTCTAACAGAAGTACCACCATGCAATAGCGAAGCTATGTTACAGAAAAGACAATAAACAGCAAAGAAAAGTGTTCACTTAATTGAGTCAAAAGTTAAATCTCTTTTTCGCCAAAAGATACCTTCGGGAAAATGAAGAAAAGGGTCTAGTGAAATGCCTTTGTTGCTGAAGGTGCTTGCCACCAAGCCTGAAGACCAAAGTTTGATCCCTGAAATCCACATAGTAAAAGAGGATAGAACTGAGTCTCTCAAATGGTCCCTGCTCTCCACACGTGTATCATAGCATACACCCACAAATAAATATAAATAAATAAAACAATTAAAATTCTTTTTAAACTTGCCAGTGGTTATGCATGTCTTTAATCCCAGCACTCAGGGAGGCAGAGGCAGGCAGATCTCTGTGAGTTCGAGGACAACCTGTTCTACAGAGTGAGTTCCAGGAAAGACAGACAGGCTACACACAGAGAAACCCTGTCTTGAAAAACCAAAAAAAAAAAAAATTACTTTTAAATGAAGACAAACCATAGACCGTGTTTACATATTTGTAATGCATATAGCTGCAAAGGGAAAATGTCCACAATACATAAAGAACTCTAAAATATCAATTAGAAGACAAAGACAGGACTAGAGAGGTGGCTTAGTGCTTAAGAGCACTTTTCTCTTCCAGTGGACCCAGGTTTAATACCCAGCACCCACAGCTCACAACCGGCTGTTAACTACAGTTCCAAGGGATCTGATGCCCTCTTCTGGTCGAATCAGGAACTGCATGAAGTGGCTCACAGACCTGTATGCAGACAAAACACACCTGCACATAAAAATAGTTTTTTAAAAATAAGACAAATTAATTAACAATTATCAGAAGACCTGAAAAGACCCTAAACTATATCCACATGTCCAATTAGGCAACCACAGACTCCATACCATTAGTCAAAGTGACATGCAAAGAAACCACAGTGAGCTCTGTCTAGACATCCACCCCATCACCATCACTGTGGCTGTACTGGAGCACAGGCTGGTGGGCTCCCCAGTGCATTCACAGTCATACGCTGCTACTAATGTGGGCCCACAAAACCTCAGCGCAGCTAGCACACGTCAGTACAGGAAAAGCTGGGTTTGACTCTCCCAGACCGAGCTCTATGCTTGTGATGCAACAACTTTTCACCTGCCAGAGTGAAAGGATGATGCTGACCTGGGGTTGGTGTGAGGGGCAAATATGAGCATGAAGCAAATCAGAAGTGCTGGAACGGAGCTCATAGAAACTCCACTTAGACAGAGATACTTTAATGACCAGCTCAGAGATCTGCTTCTAGAAAATTCCATTGCACGACTTTCCTACAGGCCCTAGGATATACGTCCTCAAATGTCCATTGTCCATAATAACCCCAGAACAAGAATCCCAGATGTTCATGGAAGAACAGATAAACAAACTATAGAACAATCAGAACGGGAAGCACTTCAGTTACAAACATAAGTGAACTATGGCTCCGTGCAGAGACAGATGCTGACATTATGACAGCCATCCAAGGAAGTGGAGGAAACCACACGATGGTTCCATGTCTAAGAGTCAGAGAAGCAGAACTGAGTCTGCTGATGGAGTTCCACACAGGTGACAAACTCTGAAGAAATGCCTTCAATGCCAGGCCAGTGGCTGTCATGGGCGATGCTGTGAAAAATGACTGCTCCCTCAGGACCTTCGGCTCATCACCCAGTTGGTGACAACATACATTCTAGACTTACAAGCAACCTTTCATCCTGTGGGTGAACGCATGCATGAGAGACATGTTCGTGCCTTCTGTATTCTTTTGTGAGTATATGTATATAGTCCCTTTAACACGTAAACACAAACAGAAACAATGGAGACATGTTCCAGAAGGAGGGAATTTGAAACAACATGTATGGACTGGGAAGTGGAGTAAGACACTTCACACCCAAGCATGCAGACCTGCGTTCTGTACCCAGAGTCCATATTTAAGAAAGAAATCTGGCACAGTGGCACATGTTTGTGATCCTGGCACGGGGGACAGAAACTGGTGGATCCAGCCTAACTAGCCAGCCAGGCTACTGAATCAGCACGCCCTAAGCCGAGGAGAGACCTTGCCTCAAAATGAGCAAAACCAAATGGACAGCTCCTGAGAAACAGCGGAGGAGGTCGTTGACATCTGGCCTCCACACCCACATCTGCACGCATATATGTATATGCTCACATAGATGATGAATGCATGCATGTGCAAACACACACATATCCACCCACACAATCAAGACAGCAAGGTGGGGAAAGGCATAGGTGTTCAAAGAAGGAGAGAGAGTTGGCGGTGGGGGGGGGGGTGAGATAAGAAGGGCAGGTGGAGGTGGAAGTGATTGAAGGATCCTGATCCTAATTGTGGCTTCCTTGCAGTTTACTATAGGTAGAGTGGGTTTTAGAGCAAGGGATGGGCATGGTGTGTTCGCATTTTCACAGGATCCCTCTGGCTACAGGGTGGAAATGAGGGAGAAGGGAGGTAGAGAGGAACTGGGTGTCCCATTGAGAGAAGTGTTGGGACCCGTGCAGCCTCCCAAACACCATGAAGTCCTGGACTAAACACTGGGCAGATGTGGGTGGATTTGAGACTGAACCTGGGAGTAGGGTAGACAGAACTTGCTGGGTGACGGGCTGCAGGTTTAGAAAGGGGGGATATCGAAGAATGTGAAAGAGAAACCGAAGACCTCCAGGTTTCACATGTACAAGTTCTAAAGGCTAGGGAAGAAGCATGGATGGAGGGAAGGCATCTTCTCCTTGGGAGGTATCAATCTTCTTTTCATTCTCTCTGTTCCCCAGATCTACAACCTCTTGGCTAGAACACATTATCATCAAATAGAGTATGCCCTACTGACGACGAAGTTCCCACACCTTAACACACAGGACATCCATTTGCCATCATCCAGTTGATTCATCCAACAAACATGTGCTGAACATCGGGTCCTGAACTGGACATGGAGGTCAACCAAACCTAATCCCAACTCTCAAAGAAATAGCAGCCTAACAGAGCGGACAATACCCTGCATCACCTAAGGATGCTTTTGGCTGCAAGTAACAGGAAACTTCTGCTTAAAACGGCTAAACCATGAAAACACTTAACTAAATGGTAGCTCACAGTGGTGGTGAGCATGGAGAATGGGCAGCCCAGTGGCTCAGGAACTCAGTCAGAATGCAGGACCTTCCTGATGCTTCTCTGTGCCTTCCATAGTTTGTCCTTATCCTAAGGCTGCATCCTATCCTAACCATAGGATGCTACTCATAGCAATTCTGTTCATGTGCTTTTTCTTTCGGGTATAGCCAGAGAAAGCAATTCTGGGCCCTGGTTGATGACTCGCTACTGGAAAGAACAGACTAGAACCTTCCTTCCCATCCTTCAAAAGAAGCCAACACTGCCAACACATTGATCTTAGACTTTTGGACTACAGAGCTGTGAGACCACGCAGCTCTGTTGTTCAAGTCCACGGTACTGATAATAGCAGCCTCAGCAAAACCACATTGTCTCCAAGGATTCACCAACCATCCTTACAGTCTACACCACCACCGGTTCACCAGGGCTGCCACAGTGCTAACCTTTGGGACCTCAGCAAATAAGTGGCCATGAGCATCCTCTCTGAAGGAATATATCTCTGTTGGTTGCTCAGTGCCACATAGACATTAACGGCTTAGTCATGTGAAGTCTCTGCATACACTATTCTTCTTCCTATTTGGGGACAGGACTCGCCTTTCTCACAAGGCCACTTTCTGCTTTGGAGACTAAGAATGTCACACACCTTTATTCAGCACCCCTTCCCCCACCGGCTACCCCCCCCCCCACCTCTCGCCCAGCTAGGGAGTGAGCCTGCAGACAAGACTCAGCAAATCTGATGCCTAAGCTTCAAATGCCACAAATGGAATATGGCAACTTCCCAAAGCAGCAGTTGGG